TCGTTCATAATTTAAATGTTAATGTACTGTATTGATTTCACATGCACGTATCTTGTAATTATTGACAACGAGCTTAGTATGGGTTCTAAGGTGAGCACTTTGTACTTAATTCAGTAAATGTACTACTAGCAGTAATCCAATTGTACTGGAAATACCTGCATGCTGTAAAATTACTTGAAGTCAGTAAACTCTTCTACTTCTATATGTGTAACGTGTTTGTTAATAAAGTTCAGTTAACCTTTGGCAATGAAAGAGAGAGGATCTCTTTGTGTCTGAATGACGACACTACAGTCAATGCGGCTAAGAGTGGTACAGTTTGGGTAACTTGAGCGTGAAAATATTTACCAGTGTTAAAGTTCAGGTCGTAATTTGAGAAACAGTACGTGCTCTTTATTTCCGTAGCACGATTGTGTCTGACTCGGTTCGTTTTTTTTAACAAGACACTGCGAGTTATACTGTACATGCTGGTCAGTCTCATGACCTGTCCTTCTCTCAGGCTACCGGCTTGTTTCATTAGCAATAAACAAGCGCGAGTAATTTACTGTTCACTCAGCTGACAGTGGTACATTTTTGAAACGAGTAACCTTGCGGATATGATTGATTTCGTAATGTTTTCCGGTCGCAAATGCGGCGTCCACAAGATCTGGATCGGACCGGATCGAATCACGGATCGGATCACGGATCGGATCACGGATCATGCTGAGTAGAATTAGAAATTTTGCGTGACAAGCCAAAATAGAGTCTGCGTGACATAACGGAGCGCAGGCCCATTTGGAAGTTTTTTGTGCCTCAAAACTCCATGTAGTCACTTTCACGGCTGTGTCGAAGGGTGCTGTCGTGGGCGAAGGCAAGCGAGGAATACTTCAATCTCGAAGTGGCATTGGGATTTTCGGTGTTGCGGTTTTGGCTATTTTTAGATCGGTTTTTCGGTTTTTCGGTTTTTGTGCCAAAATCTTCGGTTTTTCGGTCTTGCTGTTAATTTCGGTTTGCGGATTTTACGCGTTTTGGCATTTGGTTTTTGGTTTTCGTCAAAAACACAAACAGGTCTGTCGGAATTTTTTTCCGGTTTGTCTTCGATCTGAGAGGCTTAACTGGTCTGATGCTGTTCAATGTTAGTTGTTATCATCCCTGAAGAAGTCTGAGAAGAAACGCGTCGGAAAAATAAACAAAAAGGTACAAAAGAGAGAAGTCTTCCTTAATGCTGCTCACTAGTCTCCATTAAAAAATATTATGAGGGATAAATCTTTTACAATTTTCGAATGTGGAAGAAGATGGAGTTTCGTTCACGAGGCTAGACGCAGACTTCCCAAAATACGCGACAACACTTTGCACTTATGTCACTCTCGCTCGAGAACCGATGAGCTTGAGGTCACATTGATATACACCGGACGAAATCTCAAGTTAACCCTTTAACTCCCATGAGTGACCAAGATAGAATTTCTCCTTACAATATCAATACAATATCAACCAGAGAAGTGATGAGAATAAAGAAAAATATTAATTTGGGGATAATTAGTTGATTCAGTACTAAATTAGCTGAACTAACATTCTAAGAACTGTATGCGGTAAATGATTTGAACCCAGGGGTAACATGTAATAGTGTAGTTTGATCGTCTGGGTGAGTGTAGTCCTGAGAAGGACTGTTGTCGGTAGTGATGACTGACGTTTCGACAACCTGAGCGGATGTCATCATGAGAGTTAAGTGAATAGTTGCAGTCGGATGTTCTTAGTCCGGTTTGTATAAATTGATTGGTCAGTTTCGCCGTGATTTTGGTGGCTGTAAGGCTCAAGTGGCGAAAGTCAGTCGTGAAGTTCTCGATCCGTTAGTAGAATTAGGTCGTTTTGCTCTGTTCGTTTGCAATGTTAATGTCGGGAATGAGTCGTTTGTATGATGTCGGTAGTGTTTGACACCTGGTGAGGGGAGTCTGTTCCAAGTTAGTAAACTAGCTTCCCAGAGTCAGTCGTTGCAAGTAGCTGGTACTGTAGGTTAGGCATTGCGCAGAGTCCCAGTCAGTAGTGTGGTTCGTAAGTCGGTGATGTTCAGCAATGTGATTGTCGACATCGCCTTTCCTCGTCGCTAGTTTGTGATCAGTCGGTCTAGTTGTAAGGTTTCTGCCAGTCTCGCGGATGTAGGAAACGTGGCAGTCGGAGCAATTGATCTTATAACCTACTCCCTGTCTGTTCCTCGGTTTGTCTTTAACATCAGTAACTGACGTAGTGTGGTAGTGGGTATGTGAGCGACGCGGATATTGAATGGTTTTCGGATGCGCGAGATGTTCTCAGATATGTCCTTTTTGTACGGTTACTGTAGTCGTAGGAGTTACATTGTCGTTAGCCTCGTTAGTAGAAGTAGGTCGGTGAGTGTTTCGTCGGATGAAGTCTTCGTTGTAGTTGTTCTTTAAAAATCACTGTCAAGGTACTTGTTCTCATCGGGTAGGCTGTCTGTTGTGTTGAAGACTCTAACACTACAAAAACGCTACATAAAAAACAAAACGCAACAACTACACGAGACTGAAACAACTGATACCTACTGAATTTCTTGACACTGTTACGAATATTGCCGACACGAGCTAACAAAGCGACTGAACGTGCCCGCATCAACAGAAACTGACACGACTTCTACGTAACAAAGAACAGAGACGAAGTAAACCGGACGACAACTGGGTAAGGAACATCTCTTCCCTTCCGTTAGACCAGACTGAAACTCGCGCACTTTCATACGGACTGAAACACTCAGCTACACCGAAACGGATACCGACCGAGGCTATTGTATCTAGTGTTGAGGCGGCTCTGTCCCAGCAACGAGAGCTATCTTCGCCTTAAATGACTGTAAAACGACGAGGACATAGTTATTCTACCAGCCGACAAAGGACGAGTTGCTGTTGTTATGGTCAAGACTGACTAGCGGTACAAAATGGATGCACTAGTGAACGACAAACAAACTTACGAAGAACTCAAACGTGACCCGACTCCTGCGCTTCAACGCAAACTTAACAGTACATTACTGACACTTAAGAAGACAACCGCCATTGACACCCAAAGCTACTACCGGCGAAGGTGCTCAGTAGCACAGTCACCGAAACTTTACGGTCTGCCGAAACCACACAAACCTAGTGTTCTTACCTAGTGTTCCTACCTTTTTTCTGTGGTTCTCCCACATGCCAACTGTCAAAGCGCCAGACGACAATACTACAACCGCTCACCGACAAATCCAGGCGTAAACTACAATCCACTGAGGACTTCATTAACGCCACTAAGACTGCAAAGATACCTGACGACTACAAACTAGTGTCATTTTATGTGAAATCACTTTTTACAAGTATTCCACTTCAACTGGAACTACAATGTACTGAGATTGCGATCTGAAAATCTACCGACCCTCTACCGCTGTCGACAGAGGACATTATAGACTTACTAAACCTTTGCCTTACGTCAACTTACTTTCAGTACAACGGTAAACACTACAAACAGTTACACGGCACAGCTATAGGGTCTCCAGTTTCTGTTGTTGTAACGCCCTTTCGACTTACCGACAAATGATACTGCTTTGGTTACGCTACGTTGACGACACATTCACCGCCGTACGACACGACGAAATCGACGCATTCCAACACCACCTTAACAGACAAACACTGACATGCAGTTTACCAGAGAGGTCGAAGAAAATGGTAAACCACCTTTTCTAAACTGCCTGGTAAGCCGTAACGACAACTCCCTACTGACAACAGTTTACAAGAAACCGACACAAACCGACTGAATACTGGACAAGTCACCCTCCCACACGACATCACACAAAGCCACAACTATCTGGATTCTTACGCGACGAGCGCAACTAGTATGGGGGCTCCATAGCGTTTTTCTGACCGCGCGAGATCAGGGTGCGAACATAGCGCGAGCTTTTAAAAGTGTCTAAATGAATCAACATACAAAACAAACATGGCGGCTCGATGCGATCGCACTATTGTTATCTGAAAAGGTGTGCTAAAAACAGTCTAACACTATACAGTTTTTATGTAATGGAATCTAGGGTTTCCATCAACTGCACCCGTAATATTCATAGGCCTTCTACGCCTGAAAAGATGTCAACCGAAAAGGAAATACCATGGAAAAGAAAAGGCGACAGATTCGAAAGTTTACGCATACTCAGATATAGATCTTGGCGAAGTTCTCTTCCATTACGTAATGTTTTTCGACAAAGAAAGTAGGGATCTTTCGAGAAAGATTTATCGCGTTTCCTTCGTTGGAATTTCCTAAGATTTGCTAGACTGTTAAAAATTTGTGCCCTTCCTAGTACCTGTTGATAAATAAAAAATTCATACGACCAAATTTGAGATAGAGGAAGAAAACACAAAATTGCAAATAGCGGGGAAACTTTGTAACCCCTGTTTCTTTCTTTTGGATTTTAATCGATCGACAGGACAAATTTCACTAATTGTGATAATTTTGAGGGATTTCACCAAAGAAAATCAAAGGCAAATTACCACCGGCGAGCGCTTTCCTTCGTGGAGGCTTAGCTTAATAACGAAAATCATTTTAATATTGTTTAACAAACGATCGTCTGAGTCTTGCTCATCGCCCTTTTGTTAGCTTTTAATGACCTAGAAGAGCGAAAACATAAAAATTTCTCAGGAAAACGATACGCTGGTACGTGCGCCAACATTGAGCAAAAACTTTATGGAGCTTCCTTAAGCGTCAAAAAACAATTGTATAAAATTTTTTTTTGCACAAATTATCGTTTTTTTGCTCATTTAGGATTCTTTGACACAAGAGAAATATGCTGGGACAACAGGAAAAGGGTAAAACTTTGCCTTTAGTTACCCTTCAACGGCAACTGTTCAACCTGCTCGACAGCGAATGACGGATGTGGATTCCTTTCAAAAATTAAAGTTACTATGGGCAAACTCAAAGTTTTATTTGCCTTTTGCCAATGTATTAAACGCCATGGGCCACTGACCACTGACTCATTCATCCAGTAGTTAGTATATGTTTTCTTTTGCAGTTCGAATGTTTGCCAAGAGAGGAGAGATAGTTCCGTTGCAACATCCACCCTGGTGTCGACTGTCAGTTATCAATCTTACACCACAAGCTGTGGATTATTTGGTTGGGCACGTTGCAGGAGATCTAGGTTAATTATCTTCACTGAAGCACCCAAGGAAACAAATAAATTTTCAACATAGGGTCTTTCAGAACCATTCTTTTACTTTTTTTTTTTGGAAACTCTATTTGTGACTTCCTTTTTTGCCTTCCTTTACTGGTCATTTTTTGTCTAATTAAGATCTGCACCCTTTTCTTAAACTTTCTGAGAGCAATCTTCCGGCGCCTTCGAACTTAAGTTCAACACCTTCACGGCACGGTGTCTCTCTCCACTCAGAAATTCAAATTAGTACAAGCAAAATGAAACCGTACAAGCAAAAAGAAACCGAGAAAATGCCAGGGGTAACCTACGATGAACGGGAATCTCATTTAGTGTAGAACAAGAAATCCGTTCACAAGTAAAAACCCTTATTGTATATGGGTGCTTTGTATTTTTCAGAACTGTAACCGGCTACAGATGGAAGACAATCTACCGTTGGACAACTGATACATACCTGAGGTGCTGCAGTGGATGGGCAAAAAGTGGAAGTAGTTGCCCAAGAGGTTAGATTAAAGAGAGGTTCAAGTTAAGAAGAATCTGATATCAAATCACCGGTGATTTCAAAAGAACGGGGAGAAATCAAAATTACCCAATTTTGTGAGATGAATCTGAGTCACGAGAAAATGTTATATATAACAAAATTTGGTGTTATCAACTGAGAAAGTAAAATGGCCACCGTAAAGAGTTTTAAACGCTAACGTTTCCAGCGTTAACCGCTTTTGATATACTATACTCTATGGCTGGGTCGTTCAAAGTATGATTAGGCTAACCGAAGGTTAGCCGAAAATTTTTTACAGTTTCGTTGCTTTGCAGGCAGTTTTCAGTGTATGTATTTTTTTCCTTAAGTTTCGTCTTAGGTTAAGGTATAACTACACGAAACGTAAGCCTTAAGATATACGCTTTCTTGCAAGGGAAATCAAGAACACTTTCAAGTTTTAATACTGGATTATCGCTGACTGCCTTTCGAACAACTGAGTCCAGGAGCACACTTAATCCATACGTCATGAACAAGTAATATAGATTTTCTCAACGACAGATCACAAGGGTTGCATTGGATGGACAGATTACTTTGTTCATTCCAATCACAAGGCGGTTGCCTCAGGGGAATGTTCTTGGATCTTGTTTGCTTTTAATTTTGTTACATGACATTAATACACTCCTTCCGTAGTGGTGATGGTGAAGACTTTTGCGCTTAAAGAGTCCAGTATGGCGAATGCCATACTGGACTCTTTAAACAAAAACAATAATAAATCTAACCAACTTTCAAGAAAAATTTTCACATAAATAGTCAACATAACTTGATTCTCCGGCGCTCGATACCTACAGTTGCGAGATATAGAGATGCCTTTTTTTTATTTTCTTTTCTGCTGTTTATTTGTTAGGTACGTTTTAGTAAGCAGGAATGTAGAATGTAGGTATAGGGATGTAGAGGTAGGAAGCTAATTGGTAACGTAGCTACAGAAATGGGAATGAACAGTTTCTTCTTTTTGTGTTTCACTAGCGATCTGCAATTCCGGCTGCAACAACGGGGGAACTTGTTATTATCCGAACAGTTGCAGGTGTACATCCTATTGGACAGGATCTACTTGTAGTGCAGGTAAAGAAAATTCAAACAGACAGAGAAACGTAAGAACAATAAATCACAAACGCAGTCACTTACTTTTTGTGTGTAACAAGTTAGCGATATGTAAATATTATTTCTAAATAATGAAATAATAATTTACCTCCCTGATCGAGCTGAAACTTGTTAGTCAGTGGCAAACTATTCTCTCCGTCTACTTTCGACAGATGTAAACGAATGCTCTTCAAACAATGGAGGTTGTCAGCATATATGTAACAACAGGAGAGGGGCATCAAGAACTTGCTCTTGTTACAGAGGGTATAATAGAAGTCCAAACGATAGCAAGGAGTGCGTTGGTAAGAGTCAGGTTCCGGTCATTTCTTAAATTTGGTGGTCTGATTTCCCACCTAATTGTGCCAATAACAAAATATTATCATATAAAATACGGTGTTATACAAGGATTTCCAGCCCCGAGAAAGACCGTAACAACACACGTGATGAAATACGTTTTTTTTTCACGTGAGTTTGATATCGCCAATCAGCTGCTGACACGTCACTCGCCTTTCGCGCCTCTCGGTCAGGTTATTGAATGAACGGCAAAGCATTCACCATTCTCAATCCAAGGTCGTTTGTCGGAATGTTTTTGGGATTGTGGCTGCCGAAAATGATGAAAAATCTGTATCGCTTACAGACAGTGACGTTCAAACTTTCCCAGAAGGGGAAGGAAACCAAAACACGAAAGGAAAAACCGAACGTTACGTGGTCAGTGGCTTTGGTAATGGCATTTCTCGCGGCTGAGAACGAAAATCGACAATTGTAAGATTTGCCACAGGCCGATTTTGGCCGTGTACCTGAAAGACTTCTTTCGGTAAGGACCAATTCAATAACTGAGAATTTTTTATATTGAGTTAGGCCCATTGTTTGTTTTTTTAGTTAGCATGTTTTCGTCTTAAGTGTGTCAACGCACTTTAAGAGTTTTATTCGGGGATTGTCGATCTTTTATTTTCATTTATTGACAAAGTTGACTTTTCTAGTCAGTAAAGGGCTATATGAAATTTCCCCTCTCGTGTTGGACGAGGTCCCACTCGTGAGCTATCGAGTTAAACACTCGAAGAGGAATTCCATATCTACGCGCCCCTATGTATTATTCTCTATTTCCTTAATGAGCGGCTCTCAAAATCCTATTATTGAGGAGTTAGGGGGGATACATGGTTTTTGTTAATAAGAATATTACAGAGCCTTGTGGCCCTATGCCAGCCAATAAAAGATACACTTTTTAAAAGTGAGCGTTGCATATTTTGAACAATATTGTGACTGGAAAGTTGAACGTCAGCTAAATATGTAGCAATCAGAGGCAAACATCCTCTTACATTCTTGGGTTTCACGCATTTTGTTATTGAAACAATTAGTTGGTGATGGAACTTCTTTTCAAACAATTCAGGGGGAATTATGCTCGCAATTTCAAATCACTCGCCCAACTACTCCCTTTGTTTCATCCGTTTTCAAATCACGTATGATCCTTGCAATCTGATTGGTTATCACCGTAGTATTTATTAACAAATCGCACCATTTTATGCTCTAAAACGCATCTTTTTCCAAGCCAATGAGACAGCTTTGCTAAAACACAACAACCAACCAAATTTCAAGGCTAGTTTATAAAAATCAATCAAATTGCAGGAAGTGAGAGACAACTTTTTACAAAACCAGCTCAGTAGAATGAATTGATGAAATACTTTCACATACCTAAAAAACTTGTATTTGAGCGAATTAATGGTGCGTTTTCAAAACAGACGCAATAAAGTGGTAATTAAACTACGTGTCTTGCAATTTTGGTCTGAAATCGTATGATTTCAAATCAAACTCGCGCTGCGCGCTCATTTGATTTCGGACCAAATTGCACTCCACTCAATTCAAGTACGATTATTAATACACTCCACTGTGGCTTAACCTAACCACTTGTCCTGTTGTGTCCGACAGATAGAAACGAATGCATTAGGTCGCACGCCTGCACTTGCGCTTCTGGGTCTTATTCATGTGGACAATCATGCAGGAATACTCCTGGAAGTTATCATTGTACATGTGGAAAAGGTTTTACACTGCAGAGTGGCACAGTGTGCACAGGTATGATAAATCCATGCGCATTAGAGTAGCTGTAAAATTAGACGTCGTTATCAATTGCAGAAATGTTAATTAAAAAACAGTTTTGATGGAAAGAATGGACTTATTTTTTGAACAAAAATTCTAGAGGTGATGGATATTTGCAAAAGTAGCGAATAAAAGATCTTTTTGTCGGTCTTATTACAATTTTTTACATGAAATAAACGAATTCCTGATTACTTCTATGTGCTAAAACTGTAATTGAATTTCTTTCTACACATTGCAGATATCAACGAATGCGCCGTAAGAAATGGAGGCTGCACTCACCAATGTGTGAACTTTCCTGGCTACCACAAATGCAACTGTCGAAGGGGTTTTCGCCTCGTGAACAGTAAATCTTGTAGAGGTACTTAAGCAAGTAAATTATGGAATAAAATATTGAATTTAAGGCTCGTTGAAATTTAATTTTCCTTACATGCTTTAATTGCAATTCATCTGAAGGAAACTTCAGCTATCTTGTCAATTTTTTTCCCTCATAGATATAAATGAGTGTGCTAGCAACAACGGAAATTGCCAACACAACTGTAGAAATCTGTTCGGCAGCCACCGCTGTAACTGCGATGAGGGATTTAATTTAGATAGCAATGGAAGAACCTGCTCAGGTACTACTAACCATAGATGACCATTTTAAGAACACCTGGCTTTAAACACCGTATTGTGAACCAACAAGTCAGTAAGCGATATGATTTTAAAGTAAGGCATCAAGATTTAACAATGTATTATCCTGTTTTCTACATAAACCCTCCGTGGATTCCATATCCACTGTATTATATCGTAGTGCACGTTTTGCTCTTATCCAGTTGGCGGCGTTGCCTACTTTTGTAATTTTGCGCGCATGCAATAGTCGTAAGCGCGTAAAAACCACAGCCTTCCGGAAAGAAGAAGATTTCACTACACTTAATTCCTTTAGGGTGTTTTAAAACGAATGTTTTGTCGGATTTGCGTACATGCCCGATTTCATTGAGAAATCAAGACCGTAACTCAGTAAATGGGTGCATTCTATAAGTTTTGCGTCGAAGAGCTTATGTACTCGTGAAGGAGAGTGATTCGGAGAACGATACTTGATGGGATTATATATATTTAGAGAAAATCTGGAAGTTAAGATCTATATTACCTGTAAGTACTGATGTGACCTGCTATAAAAAAACTATGGTGGAATATCCAGTAGACATATCTCATAACAGTTTTGAGAGGAAGAGGATCGTGGGTACATAACAGGAGCAATGTACTTTTCAAAACATTCTGCCCTCATTTTTAATTGTTTATTGTGTTCATTCATTCATTCATTCATTCTTTTTATGCTATTAAGACATTGACGAATGCAACACAGGCCATGACTGTCAAGAGATTTGCATTAATACTCTTGGTGGATACAAGTGCTCTTGTAATGAGGGATATCAATTAACGGCTGATAACAGAACATGCACAGGTATGTTTCCAAATCAACATCCCCTCTGAGATAAAAAAAAACCTTGTAACTGAAAACGGTATCATCCATTTGACGTGTAAATTTGATCACATATATTTTATGGACATAAATAATCTTTTGTAAGAAGATAAAGTATTCCTTGAGCAAATCTCTCGTAAAAATGAGCTTCGACGAATGGTTGATAGCTTCTAGCGTGCTTTCAAGCCAGAAGGAGGCTATATGTCGTGTTTATTTTCCTTCAAAAAGTTTTCAGCAGCGCAGAAGAAAACGGCCTAGAAACAGTTTACCGTCTAAAGTCAGTGCGACTTTTAAAAGGATTTCTCTTCTTCAGTAACAAAAGAAGCTGCTCTCCAAAAATGAAGAACATCTCATTTGGAGACTTAAATCACATGGTTTTTGAAATTAAAAATCTGGGTTGTATCACTTTGGAAATATATATATGTTATGCGATGGTTTGAAGCGGTCGTTACGTATTGGAAAAAAATCTTCTTTAACAATTTCTCTTAGATATCGACGAGTGCACCTCTAGTAACATCACTGGAAGTAACGAAACAGCCACTCTTTCTGGTTGTCATCACTTTTGTACGAACGTCGAGGGAAGTTTCCATTGTTCCTGTAGGAATGGATATGTACTGATGTACGACAAGAGACAATGTAAAGGTTAGTGATACAAATGTAACTACACAACGAGGAGTTGAAAGGGATTGAAAGGGTTTTTTTGGTTATGAAAAAAAATGTCCATAGGTTTCCCACCAACTAAATTTTATCCTTTAGGGCTAATAACAAATGCTTCAATTTTGTTTGATCTGCATTAAGATATTGACGAATGCCAGACTGGAAACCATTCCTGTGACCATAACTGCCTCAACTCGGAGGGGAGCTACTTTTGTTCATGTAGACCTGGCTACAAATTGTCATCAGACGGGAGAAAGTGTGAAGGTTCGTATTCAAGTACGATGTAACTGTTTTTATCCATTGCTGACGCACTGATTTAATACCTCACCTATAGAACGAATAGAAAATCTTGATAACAGTTAGTTGCTACAGCTGAAACGCAATCATGACAGAAACCTTCCGACCGTTGAAGACATCGTTGCTATGTGAAGCATACTTGATCTTTTACGCCTCATCTTTGAGTGATTTCCTGACCCTTCCATTTGTGAAGCTCATCGGTGTCAAAGGGCTCAAGATTAAGAACAAAACCGTTGAGTTTAATATCAAGTGAACCTTCGAGTTCATCCAATTTATGTCTTTGGTTTCACAGTTTATCATTTCATGTTTACATGCTGCATTCAACGAAATTTATGAACGAATGACGGGAGAAAAAAAATTATTTTCGAATAAAAAAAACTCATCCTAAACGTTCTCTTAATAATTTTGCAGCTCAGCCCTGTGAAAAGATTGATACACCACTCAATGGTACAATGAATTGTTCAGGACTTGTCACTGATGCCTCTTGTTCATTTTCTTGCGATCCCGGGTATGATTTGGTTGGATCACAGTTTAGAACTTGCCTTCCTTCTTCAAGATGGAGTGGAAATTTCACTTTCTGCAAAGGTAAATGCTATCATCTTTTAATCTCTTTTGAAATGAGATAAATTGGATACCTTAGCTACTCTCGATTTACAAAAAGAGGGGCCTTGACTGTCTTCTCTTCTGTTGTAAAGCACGCAGGAAGCGGCTAGAGCACGAAAGAAGTGTAACGAGACGTAGTCGAGTTTTTCTCCTCACTTCTTGAGCACAGACTTCTCTATTTGTTTTGTAATGAAGAATCCGTTATATTCCCCACACATTTTTTTTAATTTTCAAAAAAACTTTATTTCCAAAGAGAAGAACGGTGTCGACAGCATGCTCTATTAACCACATAGGGAAGCATTGAGTGTGCTCTGTTCTGTTATAAAGCACGCAGGAAGCGGCTACACTACGTCTCGTGTTTCTCCCCACTTCTTCTTCCCGCTTCCTATCATCTGACACCGTCTTCTTCCCGCTTTCTACCATTTGACATCGTCATGAGTATGAATTTTAACAGTTATGCTAATTTGGCTATATTTTTCATCATTTCTGTTTTGTTTGTAAGCAAGAAACTTTATATTTATGTGTTAGCTGTGTTTGATTTTTATTACCGTACGTAAGTTTGCAATCTAACTGAGCGTGAAAACCTGAATAACTCGGACTGTCCCTTTCGTTTTCTGTGTAAGGATTTTCGTCTCTGATCGAGTTATAATAACGTAAATTTACGGCGTTTAGCATGTTTAAAAACCCTTTTTTTTAGATCTTCTGTTGCTACTTGCCAGCTTGCTAGTTCCGAAATTTCACACCCAATTAACGAAAAGAAGCTAGAGAGAACTCCGGGAAAATATTAACGAATACAATGAAATTTCAAATATAACGCATGGTGCAGAAAAGTCCGGACATATCCGCTCCAAAAATATTACTCACTGCTGCTTTTTTTCCTCTTTTAGTGAAACATTGTGAAAAGTTGACAACCCTTAAGAGTCAAACTATTTTAGTTCCCTGTTACACCTCCTTCGGTTCAACTTGCTATTTTGGATGTCGCCGAGGATTTTTCATGGATGGAGACGGACAAGCAAATTGCAGCTTGAATTCCAAGGGTGACGGTGTCTCCTGGAAATTTGGGAGTTTCACTTGTAAAGGTAAATTTTTCACTAGACGACATTGGTAGCCATTGGTAGATACGTGTTCTAAACGAACTGCTTTACTCGCCATATGTATTCGCTCCCCCTTTTAAGCATGTCCCTCAAGTAACGCAAAGACTCTACGTCTGTCTTTTCCTCAAGAAATAAAGTGAGCAGGTGTAAAATAAAGGGGATTATAACAAACTTGCTTCAGATAGAGGGGGCTAAATTTCCACCATAGGACTCGACTTTTAATCTTGTTGAGATGATGAGTTACGCAAATGATGTTCAGAAAAGTCTGTGTCTATCGGAGAGGTTCTTTCTAAGGTAACATCTATCGAAGCTTTGATAGCATCTGAGTCCTTTTGTTCGTATTCGATTTTCTCCGACGAGGGGCTAAAGTTTGAAACATCGACTTTAGAAACACTTTACGGGGGCTAATTTACAAATCAACTCAGTCGATAAAAAAAAAAATTATCTTGTGATCCCCCTATCCACGGAGCACCACAATACTTTTATAAACTTACCGTCCATATTCTCTGAGATATCGGCGCTGCCAGTTATAGCATCTTCAACTGTAAAACAGTCAAGCACTATAAAGAATTTGGTCTAACTGTCGTAAGCATTTGTTCCTCATTTGAACATGTCTGCGACGTAAAGCAGCGACGCTTCATACCAAAAGAAACTTAGGTCAGCTCTAAATTAAAATAAGAGATAACATTCCTCCAAATGTGAAAAGTAAATAGCGACGTCTATCACTTCAGAACCCCAAGGGGAAAAATCATGGTTGTATGAAATTATGCGATCAAAAAAGATCAAACACTAAGTGAAAGGGTGATAACTGTGTATACTAAAATGCTGAAAAAAAAAGACTTGCAATCCAGCAAATAAAACCAAACCACTAAAAAAGAAAATACGATGAGTCATTAACTCGTACTTAGATCCTTATCGATGGCTTAACCTATTTCTTGGTACATTATCGCAGAGATCAAGACATGCCAGCCAAATCCATGTAGACACGGAGGAAAATGTTACGCTCTGAACGAGAGGGACTATACCTGCAACTGCGATAACACTGGTTACAAGGGTGATCATTGTGAAACTGGGTATACTATAACACCAATCTTTCCAAAGCTTCGCTCAAAAACCAAATCTGGGAGGCTTTTCCTTATTGCTAGACCACTGAGACGCTTGACGGTAGAAGTGTCCTCAGAGAAAGGAGTGAAATTTGAGCCCCCATCCATGGTTTTCGATTCTTCCAGAGTAATGGAGCAATTCACAGTAGTGGCGGAAAAACCCGGAATCCGAGCGATCACCTATGGTCTGGAAGGCGAAAGTAAGAACGATTTTGAAACTCCTGAACCAAGCGTGTTTTTTACGGCACCAGAAACTTTCTCTAATATTAGCTTAAGGAGACAGCTATTTCTTTCTAAGGGCGAGCTACCCATTGGCTGCGAAGATTATATCACAAAACTTTCATGTGAAGTACGTCTATCATCTACCGCACCTTGGACCAAGATTTCTTCCTCTACCAATGGCATTGTCCACATCAACTCTCCCAAAAATCAGAACATTCCTCTTTCTCTAATCGGTTTGAATCTAGGAGATCGTGTCTCGCGGGATAAGATGATTGAAGCCGGTGTAGCTAGGACCTCCTCGTTCAAAAAATTTACAGTTTTGCTCGCGCGAAATGGCACATGCCAGGCAAGACTAACAGACACAAACAGTGTGCTTGAACTCATACAGAATGATGCATTCGTGTCCTCGTTCATGGAGGCTCTTTCATCCGTAGCGCCAGAATGGCTTTCATTCTCTGTCACAGAGAATAACAATGTTTTCGACATTCAAAACGTTGCTGCTAGTCTGGCATCTGATCTGAAACACTGCACAGGATTTCCCTTAGATCAAGCATCAAGTCTTGTCTACTACCGTCCTACTGTGAATTACAAAATGCGTGTGGCACAAGACGATGTTGCTTTGCTAGCTGATGGATCAACATGTTTTGCAATAAACATCTGTAAACCTAGTTTGTTTGTCAACTTTCCCAAAGGGCAGGCTGATCTCATAATGAGTTCTCTTAATTTCTTCCGAGATATGCAAAACAGTGGGCTCAGTCTTCAGATTGATTCGATTGGCCTCCATAAAAACAAAGAAACTGCTTATTTTGTGAAGGGAATCATTTGGAATGGCAAAGAGCTGCAAGAATTATCCCCTCTCCATTACCAAATGTGGCTAAAAGGAAGCATTGACTGGAATATGGAGATCCGTAAGACGCTACTCCTGTCATTTAGGATGAATGGGGATGCTATCATCAGATCCGAAAATATTGACAATGTAAGTAAGAAGAAAGGTAGGATCGTTTTGCAAATGTCATGGAGACTAAGTGAATCATGGCGTTTTTTTCTTTACTTTGAAACTTAAAAAAAACTGTCGGGAGACAAGCGGTGCCTTTTTCGCCTTGAGAAACATTTCTTCAGCTAATTAATGTAAATGTTTCCCGGACAGACTCATTGAAGAACTGATCTGTAACAGTCATCTGACATTTGGTTTATTTCTTAACAGCTATTTACCGCTTTTTTGTCTGAACGGATGGACATCCAGTTAAGAGGAGACGTGGTTTTAAACGTTACTGGAACAGCACTCAAAAACAACTTTACTTTGAAAATTAGTTCAACGAAAGCCATTGGAAAAGCTCTCTTAGGAGGTAGGGAATATAATTAGCGATGTTTTGGCCGATTTCTGGCGTCTCCTGGCCAAGACTTTGTGATATCCATCAAAGTTTAGGAGCAAAAAATGCTCTCTGATCAAACAGGCAGCTGCAGAAAGGAGTGATATAATGTAGAAATAAGCCTTTATTTCTCAGCGCGGCCTTAGGAAGTTGTGATACTACATGTGGAGGAAAACCTTCGTAAACTCGACTCATGAGTCTGTACGCCCCACTACTGGCAAATGATTTTACATCTTGCGCAAATATATTGTCCATAAGTAGGGGTAACAACCATCTCTGATTATATTTATTGGCTTATTGACAGTATTACAAGAGCGAAACACCACTTTAAATCTATTCAACCATATCAAAAGACTAAGGTTTGTTCTTTGAACTTATGTTGAATTCCGTCAAACGAATAGTGGCTTGTTGCACAATGTGGGTTATGACATTGGAATTAAGATCGTGTAATTCAATTCAATTACACGAGTTATTCTATTCATCTGAAACACACACCAAGATTTTAAAGAACAATTCGCTCGTGCATCTGCATTTTTGATAAATGAAGCACATGAGAGGTTTGGGTAGCACCGAAAAAGCATATTTTATATTTTCATTAATTCCCAGTTTACGCCTGAGCCAATGTTAAATAAATTTTTCTCTATTTTTTTTTAGGAAAGGTCAACTGTAGCAAGAACATCCGAGGGATTTCTTTAACGTTGGAGAAATCCGCCAGCAGCTTTTTGGATAAAAGCCCTCTTGGAACTTACATTCGGCCGAGAGGGACTGAACCAGTTCGTTTGGCGATACTTATGTCACTAGAAGGAGGAAAGCTCAACAACATCGATAACATCGATGAAGTTAGACAATTTCTTTACGGCATTATTTCACTATTGCCGGATCTGCAAAATGTCTTCGTCAAAGCCAAAGCGATTACTCCAGAGGGTAAAACCACTCTAAAGAAATCCCTCGACATGATTCTTAAACTAAACACTACTATAAGAGAACTGAAAGAGATGCTAGCAAAAGACATGGTGAACATTGCAGGGGTCCTGAATCTTCTCAACCACATAGAATATAGGCTTAAATACTGCAAAAGCATCACAGATGTTTTAAAAGACCAGTACACCTTATCAAACGACAAAGGAACTTATGCAGAGCTCTTGCACATAATTGATAGGATTCATGCCAAATTTCCCAAAGAATTACGCCCCAATCTCAGCGGAAAACCAATCTACAAAACTTTCCATGGAATAAGTTTCTATTTTAGAGGCAATCTGTGCGTGGGAAAGCTGTGCTTCGAAGATTTCAGCACAACAGTTGATTACCTTTCAGAGAACAGCTGTGTTTCTAATACACCACAAGCGTCAATGTTCCGTGGCAAAGGGAAAGCCTTAAGGCAGGTTGCATTAAGTAAAGACAACATATTGACGCTTCCTATGGGTCATGTAATTGAATTTGTCTTTCCGAGAAACTCTAAGGTGATGTCAGCTCATTTCGTGGGAAGAAGTAATCTTTTGGCCGTTAGCCAGCTCGTTAAAGTTTCATTAAATAACAATCAGCTGTCGTTTGAAATGCGAGGGAAGATATTTGATAAATATGTGGCGAAAATGAGTGTGATGGCCATGATTAGCCATACTACAGATTGGAGCTCCTTAGTCTTCACAGTTAACGGACAAATGACGAATTCTTCCCAACTTTCGAAACTTCTCCAAAGTGAGGTGACGACCTTCGCCAATTTCTTAGCAGAAAGAGCTTTCAAACAAGTTGAAAGGTCTAAGAAATCAATACTGATTGCAGAAGAAAGGCTACATACTGCAAAAGAATTAGTTGAGAAGAAAAAGTCCACTCTCGATAAAGCGTTATTAGAAAAGCGACGGAAGCTCTCAAAATTCCAAAGAATAAGCGCTGCATACGGGAAAGCATCAGTGGAGCTTGAATCTTCCTTGGACCAGCTATTGAAAGTAAAGAACAGAAAAATTTGCCGATTTTTAGCATGCAACTTCATCGAAGCGAACACTTACATACCAGCGGTTTGTCAAAAGCCAGTCTTGGTAAATTACACAGTCCCAGTTTGCCGCAAAATAAAGGAATCGTTGCAAGAGGAAGTTGTTGTTTCAAAGGTGGTTTTGGAAACGAAAATGGTTCAAACTTACGTGGTCGAACACCGAGGTGATTGCGGAAAAACAGGTAAATTTCTAACAGGAATCGGGGATGGGATGATGGTCGCTGGAGGAATAGCTCAATATCTCTCACCCAAGCTCGGAGGTATCCTTATGGCTGCTGGTTTCGTTGTAAATGTGATTGGAAATGTAATTGACCTCGTCACTGGCTGCGATGATTACCAAGTGAAGGTACCTGGCCCGAAAGTTCCAGTTGAATTTTACGTAACAAAGAACTTCCGTGACTACAGAACAAAAGAAATCGAAAGGTTCGTTTGCGATGCGCAAAAGACGGAAACTGAGATTTCTGGTTATCTTCCCTATGAATGTCCTAAAACTGGAAGTATAAAAGTTTTAGACCCAAAGTGCGTCTCTCACAACACAAATTGTTCCCTTGACATGGCAAACCTAGCCGCTGAAACTGAGTTTGAGAATGAGACCATGTTCGGAGATTTCCAAAACATGGTAGCAAAAGGAAAACGTGCCACCCGTGCTCAACTGGAATCAAACAAGGCAGAAATAAAGTTTGACAGTGCTGTAAGACAGTTAGAGCTGGCTCGTGCACGACTTCACCAGCGCGAATTTGCACGAAAAGCCATTAACCTCAACAAAGTGAAAGAGAGAGAAAAACTCGGGCTAAAACTTGGCAAAAATATGGAGAAGCTTTCAAAAAAACCATTGATCTACGTAGAAAGTTTGGCTTTTTCTGTGGCCATGACCTCGTCATCGTCGAAGACGCGATTTCCCCTCACAGTTTACGTCAGGAGATTTGAAGGCTCGAATAAAGCAATTCAGTTTTCTATGGACTTCAATAATGAAGAGGATTCACTGGCCTTGGCATCGAATCGTATTGTTGAGGCGCTCTTTGGAACATCCAATTCAAAAAGACGTAGGTCACTAAAAGAGGAATCCATCAACTCTAAGAGAAATGGAATCGACCTCCCAGTTGAAAGACACGAATGTCTTCTTTCCAAAGAAGCCAATATTTTTTTCTCTGATATCGTTGAATCCATGGATTTTTCCATTAAAAGTAAGAGGGAGGTCGAAAAAGCCTTGTTTTCGGGCATTAGAGGCATGGAGGAGCTCTCTGGTGAAAATAAAAATGATGGGAATTCCTCTTACAATGATATAATTCTCTCTTATGGGGATGCACAGCTGAACGGCTCTGAGGCATCATCTTGGAGTGAATTATTACATGATACACGTGGATTTCTAGATATCTTGACCCAGAGGAAAAACTTTTCACAATGTTCAGGGATTCTTGATTGTGCTGACTTCTTGTTCGACAGCCTAGAGGGAATGTATGAAATGGAAAATCACCCCAGAGCAATCGAAATCAAGGAAGCGCTTCAGACATTGAACAAGATCATCGGCAGTATCCTGAGAGAGAACATTACGATGTCTCTGTTGGAAGGAAAACTCTCACAAGCGAGGTTTTTCATTAACAGAAGCAGCGATGATATGATACTTTGCGGTCAGAGACCCACAATTAAAAAGAGTTCTCCAGTGAAAGTTGTCACGCTACTCGGTGGAGACATTGATTTACTGTGTGAGGCTGAAAGTACTCTGGGAGTTGAATACATGTGGATGAAAAATGGGCAGCCACTTGAAGGGCAAAATGGTACCATACTTGAGCTAAGAAATGTCACCGAACAGAGTGAAGGAGCCTACAAGTGTCATGCTTCCAATACAAGAGGAAGTACAATATCTAATGTCACCATCCTGGTTGTGCATCAAAAACCACATATTGTCGAACACCCACTTGATAACCACAAGCTCGTTGGCGATGAAGAAGTGTGGATGGTCTGCAATAGCACGGGTGTTCCTCGGCCATCGACAGAGTGGTTCTTTATTCCGATGAAAGGGATGGGCCAGGATGCTGTTCGGCTCAACGTGACTGGCCCAGTAATGAAAATGGGAAATTTGACCGCAGAAAATGCTGGCTTTTACTACTGTAATGTGTCTAATTTGCATGGTGCTGCTCAAAGTAGAATTGCAAGATTGAACGTTTTAAGATTCATTCCTGGCGTGCCTAGGATTACTGTCATTTTCAAACTGAAGCAGTGTCCGTCTACATATTCTTCAGGGGATAGTATTTCACATTCTTGCACTGGCAGTAAAATAGAGAAAGCTCTGCAGAATGACACTATGGCTCATCAACACATTGTTCAAAAAATCTTGAAGCACATGGAGTGGCCGCTGGAAAAAATACATGATGAGTATTACACACCATTTCCAGATGCTGTGATCTCGTTCGTCCTTCATGGTCACGACCCCATCACGCCAGAAGGAACGAAGCTCGAGGCGCTGAATGAATTCTCGCTCTCTAGGCGACGCATAGGAAACAGTTTAAAGAAGCTTTATTCTTCCCTAGCTGATGAAAAAGTGAAGGTTCGTTGGGGTAACTTGACAATAATTGGCGACAAAGATAGCCTTGTAATGGGATTTCCTTCTCAAAAATGTCCAAACGGCACAAGACTTCATGAAGATGGTTATCTATGCGGTAAGGTTTATATTCCATATCAGTGATCATGAGTGGTAATATTATCTCTCAATTCAACTCTAAATCGTTAAATCAAAGAGAGAAAGGAATGTTTTCCGCATAGTTCTGGTATCACGTTTAAGAGGGAATTTTATGGATCCTCAGTTTATCGTATTCTATTGAAAAACGGTACTTCGGCAAAACAGTAGGCTTTTCTCTTTTGTTTACAGCATAGATATTATTTCTTATGCATCTAAGAACCTAATAATAGTCGGGTAATTCAGTGCAATTCGTTACTTACCTAAAACAATTTAAACCTTGAGGGAAAATTTGACGACTTGGAAGTCTACGACCCTTCTAAACTAAAGGCTTACCGTTTCAGTGCACTGTCCACCTGGTCATTATGAAGTAGGAAACAGAACTTGCGAACCATGCCCTGTTGGCACATATCAGCCTGATGACAGGAGCACAGAATGTGTCAAGTGTCCTTACCGAGTTTCATCGACAGAGCCTGGAGCGGTTCTAGAATCTCAGTGCATCGATATATGTGAGTACAACAGATAAACTTCTTATTTAGGCCTTGTTGATCCAAATTAATCAGTATCAAGTTAAACCAATAGACTTAAGATATCTTGTCTCCCTAAAATAACGTTGCATGTAGGTCGTGCAATGTGTTATTTTTTTTCTTTTGAAGAACCATTAGGCCCCACATCAGAAGTCGTGAGAAAAATTCACGAAACAACTGTGCTCATTTGCAGATGATCCTGAGCCCTCTAAAAACAGTGTTTTGAAAGAGTCCAAACGCTACTCTTAGGTTCTGTTGAAACTTGTACCTTTTAGCTTAAAGTACTGTTGTCTTGACTATCTTTGGTGATAATCATAGCCTTTCCCTGAGGTCATGATTCAAGCTTGTCTGAGCAGTTACTGACTCAATGTCACTAGCAGCAAATTCCCACACTTTTCTTTGGCTGCAGAAGAAAATCATTTAGACTTTTGTACACCAAGATATCATCAAAAGATGAAAGACAAGGCTTAAGTATAGAAAATAAAGCTTCGCGCCTATAAATGAAACAAAATGAGTTACATACCCGTTTTAGAGAGCCGATTCTTGTTGGTAGGTAGGCCTTGTAGGCAGATTACCGGGTTACACTGGTTCATACTGAACTAAGTCAAGTTTGGTCACAATAAGACCATTTACAGGTAATTTCTGCTTACCGTGCCTTGCTGGTGTTGACTGTGCAATTACAAAGTGGAAAGTAATTCTTGAAAGAAGGTCCGTAACATTATGCTCCAGGCGCTTAATAATGCTCTACGAAAAGTCCAAAAAAGTCATGACTGCATTTGTTTTGAGTCAAGCCCTGAGATGAAAGAGAAAAAGAAAATGAAAAAATGTTGACTTCACCATAACATTAATTTACCATTCATCCTTTACCAAGAGTTTTGTTCAGGGAAACTTGATTAAAGAGCGCTCTGTTATGAACATCTAAACACAAGGTTTGTCCTAGCTAGACTTTCGGACAACTCTTAGTTGCCTATTTGAGATACGCATTTGCTCGCTAATATCTTATCACTTAGCTATTAATAACTGTCTGTTTTATTTTCTAGCCATACCCTGTACTAAACTGCCTCAAACCGACGTTGCACGAGCTCAATTGCCAAAGAAGACAAAGGCTCTCCATCGTAGCGGTGAAACCTTTGACTTTGAATGTCAGCCTGGGTACAAAGTCGCAGGAAATGCAACTGCTGAGTGTAACGAAGGAAACTGGACCAAGACTGAGTTTTATTGTAAAAGTGAGTTTATGTAAATGAAGTTCACCAAATACTCTCTGTGCTGGTGAATACACCATCATATACATGTTTTCAACGCCTAGCCGTGCTTGGGATTAATTGCGTGGTAAGGGTGGAAAGAGCATAATAGCTTAAGTCGAACTACATGTGGCATCATCAGGGAAAACTTGAAACCGGACCCCAAAGATCTTACACCAAAAACTCGTACCCAAAACTGGTACGGAAAAAAAAAAGACTCTATGTTTTATAAAGTGCGCGATTTGGAATAGGATATGCATAACATCCTTTTGTAACTACGGACTACTTTTGGCAACTGTTTTTTATTTGTAGGATATTTCTTTTCCTCCCTCTTGGTAAATTATTATTAATGCAAAACTCTTGATTCCGTTTTGACGCAGAGACTTGCTATCCACCCTGGACCGAGCTGAAGAGGCGTTGCTACTTGGTGGTAGAGGTACAGGGCCACAGATGGGTAAACGCGCTGGGCAAGTGTCTGAAGCTCAAGACAGAGATGGTGATCATTTCCTCAGAGGAGGAAAATGAATTTGTCACACAGCTTGCTCAGGTATTGGCTTTGCCGAGAGTTGAGGTGAACAAAGAACATAGTAGTCTGTGCGTGCATGGCAAATTCCACGCCGTTCTTTCAGTGCTCTTTTTTTTAAAATCAGTGTAAACTAAAGCACATAGGAAAAGAAGGCGTTTGTCATAGTATAATCCTTTTTCCCGGCCCAAGTAAAATAAATAGGACAAGTGATGACAACCACTCGGGCTGAAACCTGCTGTTATGTCCACCTATTTATTCGATTAAGGTAGTACTTTACCCAGGACAACGACCTTTGGTAACCAAAGAACTTGACTAACTCGACGAAATTAAGATATCAATGAGGAATAAATGCAAACGGTTACAGAAAACTATCTTGATTTATTTTAACTGCATTTGGAATTTTTTTTAAACACGGCCTTTTCATGATAAAAAAAGGGATGGTATATTTTGAACATAGCCTTCGAATAAAGAAAGTTAAGGTTTTAGCTAAGGAAAATCGCCTGTTGGATTCATGCATTATTTTCCAAAACTTTGCGTCTGTACTTAAGCGGAATTATTCACTAACACGACGCCAAATGGCATGAATATCAATTTCAGGTTTACCTTAAAGAGAAGAGATGGAACCGAGTTCAGATGTGGCTCGGGCTGAGGAAGACACATGCTACTGGTAACTTTCTATGGGTTGATGGGAGTCCTTTAAAGGGATACACTAACTGGACCCCTGGAGAGCCAAACAACGCAAAAGGTCAAGAGCTGTGTACCGAGATGCTAGTCTATGGTAATTACCACTTGGGCAAGTGGAATGATGTGAAATGCCACGGAGCCCGTCACAAACCTATCACAGTCTGTGAAAGACCTCTTGAAGAGGAAGAATAAAAGTAACAACTTAGTTATTTCTCGAAATCCTTTAGATATGCTTGGCTGATTAGTTCTCTAGTTGTGCTGTGCTTATAACAAGTAATTGTCGTTAAACGGGAAGATTAAAAGCTGTGGAAATGTGTGTGTATTACATATTAACTCATTTTTCTTGGTGTTTTGAGGAAAACTAAATTACCAAACATATCAAAAACAACTAGTTGATCTTTTCTTAGTTTCTTCACGGCTTTATATTAATTTTTATATCAATTGAAATCCTCTCTCACCATAAGAAAATAGCTTTGTTAACTTAGTTAAAAACTTGCAATAAGTTGTGACGCACTTCCTCTTCCTCGTAAATTCGGTATGGAATGCGGTTTTCCGGCTTTTTTTCCAATACTTCGCGTATATTTCCTTTTATTTTATTTTATTTTTTCAACATATGCATTTGTACAATTACGTTAAGGTGGGTTGATACCTGTGCTGAAACTTTCTTGAAATACCTTTTCTTGTATTTCGATCGTTAGCCTGTGTTTAGCTTATTTCCATACCGAAACCGCTAGGGAGAAGTTTTTTTTTAGGTTTAACAACAGTGCAGTTTAGCACTTTTACTCGAAGTGACTGCGCGGGTAAATAATTTTCAATTTTCATCACCCATTTGAGATTTTTGATCGGCGATTTCTTTTTAAAAGCACTTAGCCTTTCAATCTATGGAGCATCAAGAGGCTTAATATTCGTCCCTTCTTCTACAACCTTTCGGTTAATTCTTCATTCATTTAAACATCTTCAGCATCACTGTCCTACTGAGTTCAGTTTTAAAGTTTTTTTTAGCTCTAACATCTCTAAGTTTATGTTACTTTTGTCAGATCTTAACTCGGACTGTTCGAAAACCAGAGAAGAAGGTCACTTTGCAGAGAGTAAAAGTTTGCGAAGGGTAAAAGAGTTTTTTTTTGATGCAAGGTCTTCTTTAGTGAGATTAGATGGGTGTTACATAGCGAATGAAGGGATAATTTGACAGCTTGGCTACTGTCACCTTGGCATGGGTGGGAACACTTGTTCCAGAGAAGATTGAGTTTGTTATTGAAGTTAGCAGTTGTAAGTAAGTTAAGAGTCTGTTCAATAAAGAGAGATCACCTTAAAAGAATGTCGAATAAGAAATACTTTTTAGCAATGTTTTGAAGCATTGAAATAGTTACTCGTTGCCTTGACGTGAATAGAATTGGCTGCGTTTCAATGTCGACCAAGGCTCTTTGGCCAATTGAAAATAACGGAAAATTCTGACAAAGCAAACGAAAAGAGTTATACATTGTACATAAAGAATCATCCCAGATACATAATGAGATTAGTGAGTCTACTAATGAGTACTCACAAGCACCATCGCCTACAGACTGTCAGCCTAGTTTACTTTTAGAAGAGAGTAAACGCGATAGGCTCGATACAATGATTTCCTGTGTTTGATTCAGTTTTAGATATGTTTTGATGCTTGCATATGACTCTTAGTTTTGCACGTGTCCATAGTGGAAAGAAAAAAAAACAATTTTGATTAAGATCAGCCTTGCAAGTTGAAGCTTTATGAAAAAAGATGTTTTTTGAAGGTTTGTGTTAAAAAATTCAGATGACAACACATTTCGTTACGTCACATTTGGCTTGGAATCCTTTTTGAATCTACAGAAAAACCATAGATGATAACGTAAATTGTGCTCCTGTTCACGATTAACCATTGACATTATAAACCCAAAGGATCTTTTGAATAAGCCTAATTACCACAGGATTACAAAATACTTCCCTTACGTCTTACATATTGAGCTTACTGTGCATTCCTGAGTTTCGTGGATGCATTCTCTTTGCAATTTGTCGCAAAGATTAATCATAACATCAAAATATCAACACTTTATCATTTGCAAAGGTCACGAGAATTAAGAAGCTGATTACGAAAGAGATAGAGAGCGCTGATCTTTACAAATTATCGGTATTTGTCATGCGAAAATGTACGTAGACCTTTGCGAAGAATTTATATGTTGACCACTTTCCTCGAATGCTACTCTATTAGGAATTAAAAAAAAAAAAAGCAGGAGCAAGTGATGGGCTCCCGGAAAAAAGACTGAATAAATCGCTATTTGAAACCAAGCTGCCTTATAACATGTAGATTTAGCCAAGCCTAAGAGCGGAGCTCTTGTTAGTTTATTTTCCAGCCCTTCATTATTCAGAATAAAAACTGAAATAAAACTCTTCAGCACTAGCTGTAGAAGAGTTTCTCTAAGGGGATTTAGAGACCAGTCCGCGGGATGGGGAGGGGGGGAACAATTGACGAGGTCTGGATCCTGGGGACGATGTTCTCACAACTTGCATGACGATCAATACGCATGCTAGTCAGCGGTATCTGCAAAAAGTCTAGGACCATTGTTGTTGTTCCTGATGTTTTGAGTGAATTTTCGAATAGGGAATGTTTTATTCTTCAGGTGAAGTGTTTAATGTCAGCATCAGTTAAAGTTATAATCTATTGAGCGTCACTTATAATTTCAGCTTGGGAAATTGAGCCAAAATCGAAAGAAACGACGGTAAACTACTTCGCGTTAAGACATTACTGGTCGGTTGAGGAGTGAGAACAGTGAGTCTTTAAAAAAATACGCTAGAATCGTATGGACTTCTCTTACATCTTCTCTTGAGGAGTCCAGGTATGACTGCTTGCCCCACCGTTTTTCCCTCACGTTTCGGTAACCTCTGGCGTAACTGCATACAATGCGGGTGTCTTTAAGAAAACTTTAGATAGTACCTGAATTTAGTTTTTCCATCACAGAAATCAATTCCAAACGTCAATTGAGTTTTCTCTTTAGTTTAAAAGTTGAGTTGATGTTGTTATTGGCTATATTAAATAGGTTTAAAAGTTTTAGATGGTGTTTTCTTATGTCTGCCATCAATTGAATTTACTAGAAGCTGGATTTGTTGTGACATGTTCACATGAAACGCAACAATAAATATTATTGATATGTAAAAAGTTTTCATTTTACCATCTGCTGGCAAGTCTTTGTATTATATTTCAACCCAACCATTTTCCACAACTTGTAAACACTACTAAAAAATAATTAGTCAGAGAAATGGAAAATTTGTGGCATATACACCATGTTTGAAATGCCTTGTCCTTAATAAGCTAATTGGATTGAGGAGGGTGTATGTGGGAAAAAGCTCTCTTGTCTGTATCTGATTAATTTGCTAGTCACTCCTGTTGGCAATGTTTTGATGAGGTCGGGCAGTCAGGGCTAAGGAACTGAGGATTATAATAGGCAGTGGCTTTTTTCAAACCTGGAAACTATCATCCCGAAAGCCATCCTTGTGCTGGTAACTCATTCTTACTCTGATAAACTACTTTTAAGAAGGATACAACATTTTATTACATAAATTTGATGCATAGGCTGTGCACAAAACTTAAATTTGACTATACTTTTATAGCCAATACCAATCCCTACACAAAATGAATATCAGTCAGAGGAAAAAATAATGTGCTATACATCTGTAAGAGTTCATGTTATTATTTTAATTACATGAATATTAACCTGCTTCCTTTAATTGTGCTCCAGAAGTAGTAAATGGTATTAAAGAGAAATGAAGAAAGTTCTTGAAAAATCCTATGTTAAATGAAACTTTGTTATGAATCTTCATTGCAACAGCAACCAAAACAGTGAAGCTATAATAACAATTAATTATAATAACAATTATGGTTTGTAAACAAACCATAATGAAGCATGATAGGAATAAATTTAGTCTCATCCAGTTTAAATGTAGAATCCAAAATCTAATTAACTTACTGGTGAACAGGAAAAAGCTCAATGTGTTTTAACTGCTTCTGTCACTCTAAATATTACAAATCAATCATGCCACCACCTAATCCTTTAACCCCTAAGAGTGACTAGCATCTAATATCTCCCTACAATATTACCTCTGAATCATACATTAAGGTCAGAGAATAAAGGAAATGATCACCAACTAAAGAAGCTCTTGATTGTTGAACAAATTCTCCTTGTTAGCATCTTAAGAAATGTATGGAGAACAGTATGGAGAATATGCATTATGATGTTAGGGTGTAAAGAAATAAGTGTGATTTTTTTGATGTGTACACTTTCTTATGGACATCTGATTTTAGTATCTATCTTTTACCAGCTGATGTGTGAGAAGAATTAAGTCCAAACTAATTTGACAGATTGCAGGCAAACCCTACAACTGATTAAATTTTATTTAATCAAAAACATGAAGGACAATAGAGGAAATTAACTAGCACAATTCAAGTTTTCCTTCTTCAGTATTCTGTGATGTTTTTTCCATCATATGGTAAAGTTTACAGTTTCCCTTATTTCACTGTCTTCTGTTCATTTGTTTGTTTGCTTTCCTAACATTCTTAACTACAGTGTATCATTGCCAATAAATGCAAGGAGCAGCGTATAAAATTTGTACAGTTCTTAACCCTCCTTGAGAGTGACTAGCATCTAATTTTTCCTTTCAATATCACCCTGAATCAAACATTAAGTTATGATAATAAAGGAAATGATAACCAACTGAAGAAACTCTTGATTGTAAAACAAATTCTCCCTGCCAGCACATCAGGAATTGTATAGAGAACAGTATGGAGAATATGCATACTGATGTTGGGGTGTAAAGGGACATTATGTAATCAGTTTTGTATACATAGAGTTTTGCTTGAACATGTGATTGTGATAAGTGCAAGTGCCTAATAAACATCAATCTATGGTCTTCTACTCTTCCACCTTGGAGGGTGCCTTATTGCATAAAAATTGAAGTTCCATACCTTTAGTAGCTTTTTTGGCTACAAAGATCAAAGAACAACAGCCACACCAAAAAGTATTTTAAGAGACACCTCTACAATGGTAGGTACAGACAACTAACATGTATGAGTGAAGCATGTCAAGCATTAAAGTATGGTTGTCAATTTGCTTTTCATTACTTGCAAATAGCTTATTTCTATCATCTTTGAAAACTCCTGTATCCCCGCTTTCAAAAATAAAGCATTT